AGACAAATCTCGTGAGAAGTTGACTTTTGATTGCCGACAAGATTCCGACGCGCTTTGGCATCAGTTTAAGGTCAAACTAAGCGGAGTCTTGGATCTTCAGCTGCTTGAAGTCATCTATCGGCGTGAAAACCGCACAGCCGATTCCACAGTTGATGCTCCGCGGTTTTGCACCACGAACAAACGTGGTGGTCGTCGCAACCGCCGCAGCCAGAGAACAGATGAAGTGGAGAAGATATATGGTTTTGGTCGTTGCATCGAGTTGTACCTCCAGGATGAAAAGTTAGTCAAAATAAACGACAAGGGAAAGGAGCTGTTAAAGAAAGACGTTGAAGTGTGGACAAAGAGACCCCTGACGGATGATCTTATCCAGTACTGTATTGTGGATACAGTGGCGATGTTCAGGTTGTACAGCGAGATGAAGGATGTCAATGGTGGAGAACAGGCTCGTCTGCGAGTTACATCCGAGAAGTATGTTGATCTGTATCGAGGCAAAACACAACGGTCTTTCGACAACTATGAATTGAACGCGTATCTACCTCTTGACATAATTCCTGATAAAGGAACTCTAGATTTTCCTGCTGCTAACACTGAATGTACGCGCTGCCATCGGCGATTTCCACGAAAAGAATTCAGTGCAACACAGCTGAGAAAAAGAGAACAGAAATGCAGGGTGTGTAAGGAGATAAAGCGCCAGGAGGATGTACACCAGCTCAGAGAAGACCAGTGGAGACAACGCCAGGCTGGCCGCGAAGAATATTTCCATTTGGATGACTTAACTTTAGATTTCCACTGTTCAGATTAATGTGGTAAAATCTCATGTAGGCTACGTGCCAACACAAAATCCTATCAATATGGCATGGAAACTAATTCCAAAGGACTTTGATACTTCAGTAAAGAAGGACTACAGCGAGACAAACATAAGTTTACATGTAACTTAAAGGCATGTCAATCGTACGTTTTTGCCACTTTTTACCACAATGGTAAAATAAGTGTTACCGTCGAGAAAAAGTGTTGATAGGTAAGAGAAACGTAAGTGGGCTATGTCTTTTCCTGGTTGTCAGTAGCCTAACTCGTATAAGCTTATTACATCTATTATGACTCATTGCTATCACCGAAGTCCGTTCAAGCAAGCAGTCCAAACCATGCGAGGACTTCATTACAGGAAATGGCAATATTATTTTACAGGTCTGTTGATCAGCTCATAAACAGATACATGTTCCATCAAATATTTTTGCTCGCACGCGATTGGTCTAAACACGTCACATGACCAAATATTGCCCAGCTAAAACACTGCGCGCGTTGCAAAAAATATTTGAAGAATAATAAACACATTAGCCTCCATTTGGGGCAAAAATATGCTAGGATAATTGTCCTTGCACATTATCTGTTCCTCGAAGCTCAAAGTTTTTCTCGAGCTACGCTCTCGGAAAACTGTTCGCTTCTTGGAACAGATAATGTCCGCAGACAAAGATCCTAGCATATTTTTGCGCCAAATGGAGGCTATTGTTTATATAATTGAAGAGCTGAAGAAATTCAATATTTAGCTCTCAGGGTTAGCGTTCAGCTGAAATATGAGGCCCGCTTACTCAAGATAACTTTAGCTCTGAATGACAATATAGTTTCCCCGTGGGAGGCCCTCTTTAATTAATGGCACTATGTAGTTAAACAGAGTGCAAACCACATTATCAAACAACATATTGATAGCAGTTTATGACTGTATTTGGGTGGTACTGGTGATTCCTTCAACTGTACAAGAACTTCTTTAAATATCAGTTACGTTTTTTAGTGGTACCACGATTTGCAATGTGTTAATGTATACTAACAACGTCACCATGCTATGTTATACCTAACAAACAGATTTTGTGGGCTGACCAGGTTGGTGAAATACATCTTGTGACGGGGGAAAAATGACTGGGTTTTGAAAACATTTCTATATACAATAATTGTTTGTTTACAAAGTAGGTCTGTACAAGTTTTAAAATCAAAACAGCTAAAAAAGGCAGCTAATAAAATAGTTACTTGATTATAATTGTGAGAGAAGCTGTATATTTTTTGTCAACCTGGTCTCCCCTGTAGCTAATGAACCATTGTTAACCTACAATGATGCAAAAGTATAGTTCTGTATTTTCTCTTGTTCCTTTATAGCTGCTTGTAATATTTCCTTGCAAGCTTTAGATATAAACCAATATGTATTATACATAATAATTATTATGCCTGAGGGGGGCAAGAAATCCCAATTCCCATCCTTTTTTTAACCCAAATCCCGGTCCCATTTTGTTGGCGATTCTCAGTCCCAGTGACCCAAATCNGGGGGGGGGGGGGGGGGGGGGGGGGTGAAAATCCCATTTCCCAACCTTTCTTTTACCCAAATCCCGGTCCCATTTTGTTAGTGATTCTCAGTCCCAGTGACCCAAATCCCAATTTCCTAGTTCAAAAAGTAAGCAACTTTACCTCTTCAGGCCCCTCTATAATATAATACCACATACTGAGAATACATTCTTTCCATTAACTAAGTTAATGTCACACAAGAGTAACTTTGTAGAGATTGTTAAGGTACAGAAATAAATCAAAATAAAAGATGGTATGACAAATGGTAAAACATGAGACTTGCTAATGACCCTTGACATGACCCTTACTCCAAGGCTGAGAAATTAGGATATTTAAGTGCAGTCTTCACTAGCGATGCAAGCATAAGCATAAGCATGCNATATCACTGTAAAGGTACAGAAATAAATGAAAATGAGAGGGGTGACAAATGGCGAACTCTGAAACTCTCTGAGTTGCCAACACGATTGTTTCAAAATCTGAGAATGAGACTATTAAAATGACATTGGGCTCCAAAAGAAACATATATGAGGGCCTGATTACATGGCGAATTTCAGCCCGGCTAGGGGGGGCTGAAACTTTGTTGCGATTACATAACGAATTTCAGCATGGGCTGAAATATTAGCCTCGGCGCCAAATATAAAATTGTGTGTGAAAAGTCTCCAGAGAATCAAAATGGCACCGAGAACACGAATCGTGAAAAGAGGCGCATTGCTTCTCTCGTAGTTTGACCTTTTGTTGGCGCTGAAAAGTCTAGCCCGGTTTGAAAAACCGGGCTAGGATTTTCAGCCCGGGCTGAATCCTTCATGTAATCACCAATTTGATTTCACGAGAATTTGTTTCAGAAGCAGGGCTGAAATTCGCCATGTAATCAGGCCCTTAGACTTTGTCATTCATCACAAAGAATTCTGAGATTCTGACAATGGATCAAAAGTTTCTACGACCCAGCATTTTTCTTGGTAACATTTGCCACCCCTAGAAGAAAACAAATAAAGAAATTTGACATGGAGAATATGAGGCCAAATGTGTAACAATTCATGTACTACTTTATCATTTTCTAAACAACAGATATATTAATTAATTAATGCAACATTTTTGATACTATAAAACACAATATTCCTGGAAAAAAATTGTGGGAAGTTACTTTCCCATTGTTCCTTCAGAAGGCATAATGTTTACGTACATGATAACACAAGCCATACTTTTCATTAACATTCACTGGTAGTTATAACATGTTATGCTTATCTCTTACTGTCAGGGAAAAATATCAATGCTATGCACATGTTGCTTCTGAAAGTTGACAAACCTGTGGTTTTGTCCATAAAGTGCCATGTTGGGATGACTGGATTCAATAGAAAACTAGCACTGCAAGAAATTGCCTGTTGAAAGCTACTACTCTGACTCTATGTGTACTCTGAAATTGTAAGCAACAACTATATCTGTTTTAAGTTAATTTATGTCGTGGCACTTTTGAATTACATTTATGTTGTGTCACTGGAGTAAGCATTTGTGGGAACTATTCTTTTTTTCTGGGAACCTCGCTTCCCTTTGGAGATCCCAAAATTTTGAAATGAAAAATTAAAACCCTCAAAAACTTTATGCTATGCAACAATTCAAAGTTCCCTGTCCAACTGCCTGATAAACTTTAAACTTTGATAACTGGATTTCTGGCCTAATGCAATAACTTGTTTCTGGCCATTTCTATGGTGTACTTTAACACATCCTTGGGGAAAATAAAATTTAGTGAAAATTTGTTTTATGATGGCATTCCAATACACAGTCAGAGAGGAACAACAACTATTTAGGTTGGAATCCACTCACTGAGAATTGACTGTTCAGCAGAACAGTTTGCTATGCAGCTCAATACTTCCAGATGGTGACAAGCTCAAGAGACAATAGGATTGCTTGGCATGCTTTTCATGTCTGATGTTAAAAGTTTGACACCCTGTGCATGTTAACGAAGATTTGACAAAAATGTCAATTCTTGCTCTCCTCGCTGTTACAGTTCTGTTTTGTACGCTTTTCCACCTGAATGGTCTAAAGTGATTTTCGGTTCACACTCATTGTTCTCAAGGCTCTGTAATGACGATCGTCTTGAAAGTGTAGCAACTGAGGAGTCCTCAGAGAAAAACACTCTCATCTATCTTCCATAATCTTTGGTCTAGAGGTAACTTGAGTGGAGAATTCTAGAAAAAGATTTTAAAAACAATTGGATAATATATCAGTATTAAAACAGGATCAGATGGCAAGATCAGAGTTACTACAAGCAACAAAAACATTCTGTAAATTTGATAGTTTGAAGGTAAAATTATCTTCTATGATATTTCATTTATTCTAAAACACCCTCTATCAATGTATATCTGCAAGGTTAGGTGTGATATATTTCTCTATGCGTGAGTGAGTAAGTGGGTGCGTGAGTGAGTGAGTGAGTGATAGTAACAGTAACAGTAACAGTAACAGNTCCTACTGTCTCTATGCTTGGTTGCAACATTACTTTTCAGGTAAAGTGAAGAAAAAAAAAATGATGCTAGGAGTTGGAAATCTTTTTTTCAATTTACTGATTTGACATCACTCACCTTTCTACAACAAGCTGATTGTCCAACTGCTAATGATCTGCTTGTAAACATGAGTTGATGACAATATGCTGGGATTTTGTCTACGCATCTTAACAGCTCTTTTTTCATGGGATTTTCTTCTGCCTGTCCAACAGAGCAAAAATACTGGTTCAAACGGATGGATAACTTAAAATTGAGAAAGGGATTAGATATATTTGTGTTAAAACAATAACTTTTTATTGAGTGTCACCTTTGAGGCATATTTTCTTGCAACTCTATACAGTGCGTTGCCTGCATCTGCAAAATTCTGCAACATGGTATTTTAATGGTGTTATTACAAGATGTCTGTGTTTAAAACATGTTAAATACACATTTTCACTGGCACTATTTATTGAAGAAATAGAACAGCTAAATGCATGTTATAAATTTGAAATATATTTCCTAACACGTTTTTATCATTTGTTTAGAACTATATTAAAATCTCAACAAAATCTAAATTTTTTAACACGTGCAAAGCCAGTTTTGTTTGGAAAAGTCCCACAACTTTATATTGAACTAATGACCCTATTAGGTCACAACACAATCGGCATCAAAAAATTGCATGATTAAAGGACCAACTGTCTTTGACTGTCCTAATTTTAATGTGTTTTTAGTCAATTACCAGGTTTCACCAAAGATCTCCAGAAGTTAAAATAAATAAGAATTCCTGTTATGTTTTACTCACTTGGGAAGCTTCAAATAAATCCTCTGTGGTTTGAAGAGATCCTTCTCCCCTGTGGGTTAAGATTATTTGACATGTAAAGAGATTAATGGCCTTAATAAACATTATAATAATTACTACAAAGACAGAGTATACATATCTCCCTAAGCTGAACAGTGTCAAGAAAAGCTCTTAAACATTACTGTTTGTTTGGAGAGGTTATGCCCAACTAAAGGTTGAGTCAAACTCGGCTAGACAAGCTATTCAGTTGTACCCACTATAGAGAGGTGTCCATTTGTAACACTGACACCTGCTTTGAGGAAGTTCATAGTAAAACTAAAATAACACTGAAGGCAAAGAACTTAAAATAACGGGAGAGTAATTATTAAAAATTATTGAACACAGTGAAACAAATCACATACCGTGTAAAGAGATACATTTCACTGACCATCTCGGACATTTCTCTTGCTCTAATTACAATATCATTATCTGTGTCTTCAAAGTAATGGAGCTCAAGCTGTGAGGTCATCAGGTTCACATTTGTGATCAGCTTGCCAAGCTTTTCTTGTTCCTGTGTTTGATATTTGCAATCATGTATTACTAACTATTTTACTGTTCTTCATCAGGTACACAACATTACCAAATATCAAAGCCAGTTACATCCGGTGTTAATGGACAAAATTGTAATTCTTATATTGACAAGGGACATTGTATCATGTGACTTTCACGAAGTCCTCAACCATACTTAATAGATTGCTTTTCTATCATTTCCAACAAAGAGCACAGAAAATAATATTCATTTCTTTATCACAAATAAATTTAACTGAAATATTTATCAATATTACCTAGTATCGTAGACATACTGTGTGTACAGGTTACTATATGTAGCTGTAAGACCCCTTTGCATGCATTGCAGCCTAATATTCTAGCCAATAACTGTGTGATAACATCCACGACCCCCACCTACCACCCCCAACCAAACATAAGCACACCTGCATACACACACAGCAAACATAACAAAATTATGTTCCACATTTTTCTGCTTTTTTTGAAGCTTGATTCTGCAAGTTACCCTACCTGAGAATCAACTACTGCTTTTTCAGGTTTCTCATTGTCTTCTGAAGAAGCACAGCTACTTCGTCGACTTGAAGATTTTTGCTGTGATGTCAATAGCAGAGTATAAATTAACATAACAGTTAGAAATCTCAGGTCAAGCTCAAAGGGTGTTTGTTTGTTTCTTTCCTATCTTTAGTACAATATCTGAACCTTTTGTAATGCCATCTTTCAAGGACCGAATAGTGGTTTCCATTTGAACAGATTGACCAGTGGATTGGATATCTAAGGAACCTCTTGACATATTACACAAGATCACGTGAAAGAAATATTTACCTGTTTACTAATTTGCATACAAAAAACATTGTGGAGTCCGGCAGCGAGGGTTGCACATGACTGAGTTGCATGGTGAAGAATTTCTGGCCCATTACCCGCACGGGATTATGATGAAAAGTGAAAGTGACTAATTTCCATTCCCTTACTCAATCCCCTTTATAAAGGAAGTAGGATGAACTCTGGTTATAAATCCATGAAGCAACTGGTAATTTGCACTGTCAGCCCAGATGTTCTAGTTCTAGTAGGAGTTGCCTTCCTTCCCCTCTCTCTCCTACACACACAGCCATTCTGTCAGGTAACCCAACAGTTGAGTTTTACCTGCACCCACTAATACTTGCAGATGGAGAGAGGAACTGTGAATAAAGTGCCTTGCCCAAGAACAAAACTCAAAGTCACTGACCAGTACTTGAGCACAGGCCTCTTGATAAGGGACCCAACCTGGTAGTTTCTTGGCACAGAGAGCCTCCCACTCATTGTCTATGTGTGCTTGGATTTAACAAAAAGGTAATTACTTTCAAGTTAATTATTTTTCTATCAGGGATGAATACTACTGCAGTAAGGAAGGAATGACAAAAAACTTACCAAAATTTGGTCTACACGAGATTCACTTGGTTTCCTCTGTGCTTCTTCTTCTGGTACAATGCCTGAAGTGGACAGGTTACCTTCTTCATAAATGTTTTATAACAGGCATTGCAACATCTAAAGTTTACTCTTTGGTAATAAATTCTGAATTCAATTTACTGATTACCAAACATTTGTTCAAGGTATGGTCTAAGAATTTGGTGATAGATTTTCAATAGTCTCTCATCTGCTCTCATTCTTATCACATGCTTTTGACCCTGCAGTGATGTTGTTAAGAAAATTGATCTTGATGACTCTTACAAATATACAGGTTACAAGTTCGATAACAGAAAATGAAGCTGCATACATTGATTAAGTAATATCTGCATGTTAAGAAAATATCCTGTAAGCTTCCATTAATGTTCTTAGACCCTAAATTGATTGAACTTAAACACCTAAAACAGACCCAGATAAAACAACAGTTATACACCATGGCTTGAAACAAACTTTGAATATTGAAATTAAAAACTTATCAGTTTTTACAAACAAAACTGCATTCTGGGGATCAAATATTAAATGTCTTTTAACTGTATGCAAAAAGAAATATAAACAAATTCTGTTTTTAAATTCTGGCATTTATTTAGACAACTATTATTAATTACAATAGCACCTTTTACAAAGTTGATCTCTTAAAAATTATTGTAGGTCTATCTAGAAAATTATTCAATTAAAATAATATTATTCATATTAATATTAATAGGCAAAAACAAGAAGTTATTCCAATCAGGTAATACTAATTTTGTGTGGTGGTATCAAAAGAGAAGCAGAAATCTTCATATTAATATTGTAAAATTGTAGACTACAAAAGACACTAAAGAATAGTCGACTTGGATATTTTGTACAAAAATTATTGCAAATTACTGTACGTAGATCACGGAAACATTGATTGTCATTGCATTAATATCATTTACACATGTATACTTTTCACAGTACATAGTACCCAAGTTTTGTATTCACTAAACCATCTCAAAAATGACATCTTTCCCTCTTTTGTTACTCTTACAATACAAAATTAATTTTAATGACTACGGCTGAAGATACATAATTACCTAACGCCTTCATGTACATTAAAAACAATCTACTGTTATAGATTACTGTTATGATAAAAACTTTTATTTCCACTATTTGATTTGACCCACAGCACAAAATGGAGAAACAAAGATATTTTAGGGTTTTTAGAATGTAAGAAACCCTGAACAAGGCCATTGCAGTTATAAAATCACTGTCAGTGAATCCTTCCAGCCCAACCTTTAAAGGTATATGGTCATAGTTCAGTTATGATGCATCAATAATTCATGTAACATAGTTTTGGTTTAATTTGTTTGTCATTTAAAAATTCAGAGAAGATTGTAGTAAATGAAAATCAAACCACCCCAAGACACATTTCCTTTCTTTCCCATTCCTGCTTTAAAAAAAAGAAACAAAATAAGAGAAGAAAGGTTTTTTTTTAAGTTTTCGTCATTTTAAAATGCTGTAACATTTGTAGGTTTAAAAAATGTCCACATTTTGCCACTTTTCAGATAATTAAAAATAATTTCATTTCTTTGCACCTCAGGCAAGCAATAACAACAAAAGAAATGACGTCTTTTGTGAGAACCTTTTAAAGTTGTTAAACTTAATAATACAAACAGAAATATAGTGAATATATTATAAACTACAGTATTGAACAAAATATGTGTTTTCTTCTTTGCATTACAACAGACTTCCAGTGAATACCGAATTGCAACAAATGATGCCTAATAGTTAAGAAGCCACAGTTTGGGGCCACCCTTGTAACCAGCTGTCAAAGAGTTGCATAAACTGCATTGAAGGCACTCCTCTTATGGCGGCTCCCAGGACTCCCTGTAAACAAAACAACTTAATGATTACAAAGGATGACTTCACAAGGAGTGTATAATCATTAAAATAACTCAGCAACTTTTATTTTTGTTTGGTTTGTTTATAACTGGACAACTGACAATAACCAATCAAAATGTTTAAGGATTTCAAGGATTCAAATTCCTAGGTGCTTACTATTTGTTGCAAGGAACTGGTTGGGATGATTGCCATGTAATGGAAAGGGTTTTACCAAAGTCAGCAAACCAACTGCCAGATACAGGGCTTACTGTTTTATAATTCAGTTTTTGGTTACTGTTTACTCGTAATACTCTTTTAGAGAATGGAAACTGGAGAGATGAGCAAATGGTCTGGAAATTTTGAATGTTCCATTCTGAACATTTAAAGAGGAATACTAGAAATAGTTGCATCAATTTAACTTTCAAATGAAATTACTGGATTTTTTCACTGAATGTGAGCACCAAATTTTGACATAGCCACACAGATCATTTTTTAAACTGGGTTTTTTCCAACTCAAGAAATTTCGTCATTTGGCACAAACATCTGTACTGATTTGATTGCTTTACAGTGACTTCTAACTGTATAGCAACTCAAATTATCCATCGCCCAGTTTCACATTTTCAATGTCAAAGCCAATCTTCCAGGTTGAATCTTGGATCTTAATTACACAAGAAAAGGGCTGAGTGTGTACCATAAGATGTTCCTTTACAGGACCCAGATTTTCTTCTGATCTTATCTAAAACCTCTTTATTACACATGTACAAAGAAATACATGTAGTCATGCACTGTGGGGCAAGTGCTCAGAGCTATGTGCAAGGATAAAGGTTGTGGTTAGAAGTTTAGGAACACATTCATTAATTTTGTTCAGTGGTTAGTTCAGTGAGACATACATTACGTTAAGGTTAAGAACGAAGAGGTGCTGAGAGGCTCTTATTGTTAATTTTTTGCAGTTTTAGTTTCATTACAAGGATACACACAATTTAAGGTTAATTTACATGTTTAACAAGGCTGGATCATCAAAGATGTTTAGATAGAACTTATAGGAGGTTAAGGTTATGTTGCACATTAAGATAGAAGGGCTATTTTAACAAAGAATGCATGATCACAAGTGCAGTATTACTGATAATAACTTTTAATCCAACTCTAATTCCTAATTTCTCAGTTTCCCAAATAAACAGAGACGTGCAACTGTATATATTTTGAAATTTGACAAGCCATATTGCGGACATGTCTCTAAGTTCTATCACATTTACTTTTGAAGACGGATTGTGTCTTTCTTCAAAGAAGCTGCCATGTAAGTATTAGGAGTAAAAGTGTTCCCTTTTGAGGGAAGGGGGGAGGGGGGGGAGGGTGTCTTCAACTACTTCTGCCAGCAAATCATACAGAGATGCCAACCAAAAATATCAAAATCTGGGAGATCGCCAATCGAACCTTTTTTGACGCCCAAAAAAGTTGTTTAAATTAGAAGAGCTCCACCAATTAAACTGCAAAAATTACTCAAATAACCCACCCTCGCCCCCAAAAAGGCAAAAAAATCGGCCAAAATATGTCTGAAAAATGTAATCTATAGGTGCTTTCATATGTATCGTCTGGGAGATTTGGTCAGCTGTACAAGAGACACTCACAAATAATCCAGGAGGGTGGGCATAGATGATCATAAACGCCACTCTAAAAGATGTAGTTTGAAACACGGAATTCTTTTACCAATTAGAAATTAGTACATAATAAAGAAAGACATGATAACTCACCGTAATTCCTTGTGCAAGCACCCACCTCTAGTAAGCGCCCTTCCTCTATGGCGCACCATCCTGGCCATAGAATGACCAAGAGGCCAAAAGTTTTTTTTTTTATTTCAAGGGTTATATTGAAATTTTTTTTCTCTAAGTGTAGACAAATATGGCCACCTTCACTCTGAAAGATAACTACACTGTAGCTTGCTATGACATCAGTCTGCCTAGAGGGGGCGCTTACTGAAGGATTTACAGTGACGTTGAAGAATCTCTTGGCTGTTGCTTGATGTTGTCGCAAAATGATGACTTGACTGGAAGATTATGTACAACTTGAGAATTGTTTTGTGTCATGGTCATGTTCATTCTTCATACAGAATGCATTCTCCAGGACTAAAAGTTCAAATTGACATCATTTCCAGATGTCGCATAAATTTCTCCAAGTGGTTTACGAGGATACAAAAGTAAAATGAAACACTAACTAGATGAACAGACCCAAGTTTCTTCAATGAGGATGACAACAGATCAGGCTTAAAGCAAACAATGTAATTTCTCTTCACAGAAACAGACAAGAATAATTAAAAGAAAATAATCAACTGGGGGATATTGTCTTAATGTAAAATCAATTCTCAACATTGACATTACAAAAATGTGTGGTAATCAGTCAGAGAATAACATTTTTAGCTTGTAAATGCAACAATAAATCACATGAAAGTGCAACTTTTAAATGACAATAATAATTTGTCTCATTATTAAGAAGATTAATTAACAACTAAACAATAATTATTGCAATTATCCAAGAAACTTCAATTCTAAAGCTGTTTGTTGAGTTTATTTTGAACTAAGTTTTAAGTTTACATAGTATTGGTTTTAATTGTCTCTAAGGTGTCACTTTTATAGTAGTCTGTTCTCCTTATAGATGTTTCCAGGGTGTATCAAAAATGCTTGTTTAAGTGAATCTAAAAAATATTGCAAGACTGTTGACTTGTAAAGGCAAGGGCTAAATCAAAAGTTTAAACAAGGTTTACAAAATGTATTGAACATATTTCTGTCAAAGCAAAAGAAAACTTTTTAAATATCAAAAGAGTGTCAAAATTTAAAGGAGCTAATTTGATATCTTGAGCATATAAGTTTCTAATCCTTTTATTTCCTGTTCATAATCAATCTCAGTCTTCCGACCCAATCTTAACCTTTTTAGTTCATCATTAACTATTAGATGTTTTGCACACTTTAATAAACTATTCATTTTAGGTTTCCTTCAGTTTAAGGACAATTTTGTAAGTCACAAAACAATCAGTTAGCACACCATTCATGACTAACATCCTTTAAAAGTGTTTCCATATTTTAATAGCATCCAGTTCAGAAAATATGGAAGCTCACTGTGCACATTTCTAAGGGGGTGAAGGATCTCAAAAGCCAAAACTTTTAAAGGAAAGTACAAAGCCAAAGTGGAGTTTCTG